GGAGCGGCGCGCGGCAAGCTCGGGCAGCGGCGGGGGGCGCGGAGCGCGGTGTGCGTGGCGGGGCGGTGCGGGGGGCGGCCGTGTGCGAGGCGCGAGTGTGAGCGCGCGCGGGAGGCGGGCGGACGGGCTGCGGCAGTCGAGCGGCGCCCGCGGGCGAGCGGGGAAGGCGGCGGGAACCCAAAGTTGCCTCCTCGCGGGCCCGCGTCCCCGGCGGGGCTGCAGCCGGGGGCCGGCCGAGCGGTGACCGCAGACCTGGCCTCCCGCGGTACCTGGGCAGCGACCCCGCACGAGCGGCGGCAGCGTGGGCGGCGTTGGCGGCGGCGGCGCGCGGGAAGCGAACCGGAGCTCCGGCGCGGCGCTGCGGCCGCCGGGGAACTCAGCTCAGGTGCGCGGCGAGGAGGGCGCGGGCTGGGACCCGCCCGCTGGGACCTAGAGGTGCGAGGCGCTTGCGCGGGCTACACCATTGCCACCACGGACTGCCTGGCCCTGAGATCGGGCTCCTAGTCCCTGGTCACAGAGGCTCCAGGGTCCCCCGCCCCTGAGAGCTGGCTGCGGGGCTCAGGCCCGCCCCTGCCAGCCCCGGGACGCACCGCTCCACCCTCAACCACCCTACGCCCGCCCTCGACCCAAGATTTCTGGGGCATTGGCCGCGCCTCTGGGTGATCCCTCCGGGCTCAAGTTGCAAGGGGGCGGGCCCCGGTCGGAGGTGGAGTCTCCCGCCAATTCAAGCTTTGACTATAAATTGAGCTCCCTGAGCACCGAGGACCAGATGCCTCGCCAGGCCGCCTCGAGGTTGGTGGTCGGAGAAGGTGAAGGGCCCCCGGGGGCTTCGGGGCCGGCGGCCACCATGCTCCGCTCCCTGCTGCTTCACTCTCTGAGGCTCTGCGCCCAGACCGCCTCGTGCCTCGTGCTGTTCCCGCGCTTCCTAGGCACGGCCTTCATGCTCTGGCTTTTAGATTTCTTGTGCATCCGCAAGCATTTCCTGCGCCGTCGCCATCCTGACCACCCCGAGCCCGAAGTAGAACTCAACAGTGAAGGCGATGAGCTGCCCCCTGATGACCCGCCCATCTGCGTATCGGACGACAACCGTCTGTGCACCCTGGCCTCTCTCAAGGCCGTGTGGCATGGCCAGAAGTTGGATTTCTTCAAGCAGGCCCATGAGGGTGGCCCAGCGCCTAACTCGGAGGTCGTCCGGCCTGATGGCTTCCAGAGCCAACGCATCCTCGACTATGCACAAGGGAACCGCCCGTTGGTGCTCAACTTTGGCAGCTGTACCTGACCACCGTTCATGGCGCGGATGAGCGCCTTCCAGCGCCTGGTCACCAAGTACCAGCGCGACGTTGACTTCCTTATCATCTACATCGAGGAAGCCCACCCATCCGACGGCTGGGTCACCACAGATTCACCCTATGTCATCCCCCAGCACCGCAGCCTGGAGGACCGTGTCAGCGCAGCAAGAGTACTTCAACAAGGCGCACCTGGCTGTGCTCTGGTCCTAGACACTATGGCCAACTCCAGCAGTTCCGCATATGGTGCCTATTTTGAGCGCCTCTACGTCATTCAGAGCGGCACCATCATGTACCAGGGAGGCCGTGGCCCCGACGGTTACCAGGTGTCTGAGTTGCGCACTTGGTTGGAGCGCTACGATGAGCAGTTGCATGGTACTAGGCCACGTCGATTCTAAATAACCAAGGGACAAGTGACTGAATTGGTGGGCCGGGTCTTCCGAAGCCCACGTGCAAATGCTCCAAAGGAAGTCAAAGGTTGTCTGGGGTTCCCATGACACAGATGAGCACAGCCACAGAACTCAGGCTGAGTCTGGCTAACTTTAAGACTCTCTATAGTGACTCCCTTTTGTACCTTTTTGGCTTGCTCTCAGGAGCATTGCTGTGGCTCGAACTGGCAGCTTTGTCCCTGCTGGAGTTTACCTGCTGGACTTCCTGACACCTGTTCCCTAGCGCTGCTTCAGCAAAGCGCGATTGTCCCCAGCATCTCACAGCTAGGACTTGTTGGCCACGCCCGCGCGCTCCCTGAGCGCAGCTGGGTTCCAGCAGTGCCTCAGGCTCTAGCTAGTTGCCTGGCACCCACCTGTCGAGCGCAGGGAGTCCTGCTGCTTTTGTGTTTATTTCTTATCCCTGGATTGGGGGAGGGGCTCGAGATAGGGAAAGGGTGGGCAGGGTAATTTCCCCGCCTAGCTTTGGGTGCGCTGGAGCCCTGGCTGCTGATGACGAACCGCCTCTAACTGGGCTTGACCACGGGTCGGCTCTGAATTGCAGAGGGGCTCGAAACAGCGCCTAAAGTTAAGAGGGGAAGAATCCTCTAGGTTCCACGGAGAACCGTCGAAAACGGGGTGGAAGAGGGACATGGTAAGGGGTGGGCTTCAGGACCAAAGGAAGTGGCTTGGGGAATTGGCGAAAGTTCGCAAGTCCCCAAGAGGAAGGCTAGAACTCTTTGGAAAAGGGATTAGTTCGAAGACAAGGAGATGAGGAAGAGCCTGGGAGTCCTAGGCAGAAAGAGCGGGTTGTGGGGCGGGGTGGAGACCAGTCAGTGAATGTTGTGTTGGAAACATTCCTTGTGTATAAACTTTTAAGCTACAATAATAAAGACTTGAAGGGAAGTTGCTCTGATTGCCTTTGGTCCGTTTATTTTCTCGTGTCTTTGAAAACCAAAAAGAATTAAACACAAATTTCTCCCTTGCATCCCCATAGTGACTCTAGGGGAAAGCGGGGCGGGGAAAGAGTCCAAGCCCTGCAGCGGGGGCGTGGGGGGTGGGGAGATGGATGGAAGGGGAAGGGAGTTTCTTCCCTGGGATGGCAGATGCACTTACACGTGCCACACCTGGGCAGAGGACTTCAGGCCAGAAGAAGACCCAAGATGCAGAGACCCATAAGGAGATTGGTGAAGCAAGGGGTCCTTATTTGCTATGGTGTGCGCGCACACGTACACGTGCGCGCACACACACACACGGGGGGGGGGGGGGAGAGAAACAGACAGACACAGACAAACAGACTGACAGGGACAGAGACAGTGGGACAACTACAGCACCGTCTAACTTCTCTCAGCTTTGGGTGGTTCAGGGAGAAGAGTGCTGTGTAGGGCGAGACCCTGGACCTCCAAGCTTGTCCCTTGGGTTGCCACTGCGCCCCTGGCCCTGCCCTCGGTGGCAGTGACGCACCTGCGGAATTGTCTCCTACCATTCCTCCAGGTTGCTGGGAGGTACGACCAGAAAGGCTCATAGGGCACAGTATCTCCATTACTCAGGCACGGCTCCCACAGCTGGGTGAGGGGATGCTTGGGCTGTGCCCGTGCCCGGGACACCCATCCTCCCGCTTACCAAGCCTCAGCTAAACCTCACTGCCGCCCACCCCTCGCCCTGCTAAGGGGTGGGAAGCAGAGAAGAAGAGGAGGAATATGAGAAAGATGGGGGTGGAGGAGGGTGGGAAGGGAGGTCGCGCGGCGCCTGGCACCCATCCCTGAGCAGCGGTGGCCCTGAGCTCTCGCGCTAAGCTCGCCCTAGATCTTTCCCCATACAGCTTTGGGAGTGAGTTGAAGGAAGCTCCCAGAATACAAGAGATCAGCGCGCCCCGCACCTCTCTTTGCTGGTGATATTTTAGCAGAAAAAGTGAGATGAACAGAGAAAGGGGCCTAAGGCCAGAGTTGAGGCCCCGAATGAAGTTAACAATGAACCCAGGGCAGTCAGATCGCGGGGGGGGGGGGGGGCGCTGAAGGACATGTGGCACACATCTTGGGACATAGTGCGTGGATGAGTAGGGACATGACCGGATAGATGGAAGACAGGTCCTAGCCAGCTCGTCCCCTGGTTCCACAGGCACCTCCCCCTCCTCCCCCTCCCCCTCGCTCCTCCTTGAAAACCCTTGGAACTGACACCCTAACATCGGT